GAAAAGATAGAGAGAGAATAGGTGGGGAGAAATGAATTAGGATTTTAGGGTTTAATTGAGTTGGGATAGTGATGGCAAATGGGTTGGCGGGGCGGGGCAAGGTGGGCACCCATCCACGAGACATGGGGCAGGATGGGGTGAGGATGTCCCGCCCCGTAAAAGGAAAAAAAAAAAGAAAAAAAGGAAGGATTAAAAATAATTTTATTTCAAGATAATTCACTCGTTAAAATTTCATTTTAATTTTGTATTTTATTATCTAATAATGACATAACTTGAAATTTTGAAATTATAAAAAAAAATACAAATAAAAAAATTAAACGGGACAAAAAATTGCATTGCGCCTCGCTCCACCTCATCCAAGGCGGGGCGGGGGCGAGATTTGGGCCTGCCCTGCCACGAACCCGTCCCGTTACCATTTCTAAGTTGGGAGGATGTGGTGGGATGGGTAGATTAATTTAATTTTATAATATTATTATTGATATTTAAAAATAAATTATCACATGATTTTTGAAAAAAAAAAAATTTATAACTTTATTTTTGAATTGGGGACTTAAAAATCAGGTGTGGGTATAATTTTTCCTAATTATTATATGATAGGAAATTGAATGTTTTTAAAAGCACAAGTAATCCTGACCCAATAAAAATAAGAGATCAGCCGCCCAGCCCATTATTTCGGGCTGGATTTGGTCTCAAGAATATAAATGGGAGCGGGGCGGGGTGGTGTCGAAGGTGGTGGTTGTTGTAGGAGTTGGATGTTGAGTGTTGACAGGGTGGGTGAGTGAACTTGGTCGGGGAAGATGAAATATTTAACTGTTCTAATTTATTTATTTATTTATTATTTTATTTTATTTTTGCCAATATGTATTTGATTGTTTTTGGTGAAATTTACTTGTACTTTTTGAAAGTTATGGGATCCCATTTGTAATTTTTTTATTTTTTGTTATTTACTGTTTTCTTTTATTTTTCTTTATTTAAATAGAAGTATAAATCCGTCATATAATAGTTAAAATGTAGGGAGGGAATAACGAGTTTTGCTACATAATTGAAAGGTTGAGGATGAATTGTGCTAAAAGAAAATTGAGGATAGATTTATAATATTTCACAAAGTTTGTGAATGAAAAGTGCAAATTTCTCTTATGTAATTCATAGTTCTACGTTTTCAAAACATGAATTCCCAAAGTTTAAGATTTTCAATAGTTTGATATCTACATCGATTTGAAATGTTTTCCTCTCGATTCTTCACATAATCACGAGTTTAGGAACTTTCACTTCACTTGAGAATCAAAGAGGCTTCACCCAATTATCATGCTAGATACTTGCATAATTGAAGATGCTCGATTGACGTTAACTTGTGTGAAGAAATCTTACGACTTGAGCAAGGGCGGAAGAACACGGCGGCGACCATTCCCTCAACATTTTTTTTCTCCTGAATTTATATAGAAATTTTTTGTTATATATAATAGGTATATATTTAACCTCTCCAACAATTTCTACCCCTGATACAATGGTTAGTTTCAAGTTGCAGTCACCTAAAAGCCACCACCAAAATCATCCTCTGTCCATAAATCTTTATTAATGTTATATTGTTTTACAAATTTATTGACAAAAATATTTATTAGTACTCAAATTTTATTAAATATTGGTTTGCTTATGTTGGTAATTTCTTTAATATAATTATCAACGAAAAATTCATCAGAAAAAAAAATCATGAAAAATTTAATTAATTTTCCTCTCTCTCTCTCTCTCTCTCTCTCTCTCTCTCTCTCTCTCTCTTCATAATTTTGTGAAGATTATTAATAGCGAAATTATACTTGGATTTGTCATAAAAATGACACAAAGATTAAAACAATTCAGTTATACAAGTTATCAATATGTTAAGATTTGGGGTCCATCTTAATAAGGTCAACCTTGTTAAGAGGAGTGTCTCAATCCTTTATATATTGGTCATTATTTCGGTATTTTACCGATGTGGGATTATATTCCCTTAACATGCCCCCGCAAGATGGTGGCTCGTTTGAGCAGAACAATCTTGAAATCCATGTGCTCATTTTTAGAGATTTAATCGGATCGAATCGCTCGTTGGAGCTTAATGGGTTCTGATACCATGTTAAAGTTTGGGGTCCATCTTAATAAGGTCAACCTTGTTAAGAGGAGTGTCACAATCCTTTATGTATTGGTCATTATTTCGATATTTTACCGATGTGGGATTATATTTCCTTAATACAATATAGAAGTCTATCGCTTTAAACTTTGCTAAATTTGTCTGTTATTTCATTATTGTGATGTTTCCTTTTACATCAAAAAATGGAATAATAACATATTTTGATACTGAATAGAAACATCAATATTGTTTGTTTTGATTCTTGATTACCTAATATAAAATAAATTGACCCAATTCAATGATCGATAAAACTGAAAAATATCGCGTAAGATTATAAATTAATAAAATTTCTAGGATGTCAAAATAATTATGCAAAGGTATCATGTCAATTACTAGAAAAGGGTAAAAATTTATTTGAAAATAGATCAAGTCTTTAAAAATATTATAAACGAGTTTCATGATGTGATGGAGGTTGATATTAGGTGTATTTAGTTATAATTGTGACCGTTTGTGATCAAGAAATTGTTATAAGGTATTCATTGACATTTTTCTTCTTCGGAGTACATCTTTGAAACCTTTAAGGCGTGATGAGTTAAGGTATTTGAAGGCTCTATGGTATTTACTCTTTTTGCTACTTGATTGGCATGGATCGTTACGATAGTTCTTTAATCTATTTCTTTCGTTGTACTTTTGGTCATTCGAAAATGATTCATCCTTCTAATCTCAAAACAAGATTTTTAGCATGATCATGTGGAAGATAATTATATTATGGATCCTATATTCTACGTTTTCAAAACCTTTCCTTTCTCATGCAATTTAAAATGCATAAAAGTTTGATCTACTTCTACATCTTTTTGAAATCTCTTCCTCTTGATGCTTCATAATCACGAGTCTAGGACATCTCACTACATCTCTCACTAGAGTCGAAAAGGCTTCACCCAATTCTCTTGCCAACCACGTGCACAAAATGTTTAATATACTCGATGAACATTAAAATGTGGGTGGAAACCTTACAGCTCGAGGGTGTTAAGGGGTTGATATCAGAGCTAAGAAAAAAATTTAATAAAGTTAATACCAAAATCACATAATTTGCCCCATTTTCCAACTCCTTAAGAAACCTAACTTGAGAAAACACAGATTGGGGTTTCATAATTAGGGGTCTAACTCAAATTCTGTACTTCAGCAATATAAAAGATGGTGGTCTTCACCCTCCACTCCCTTGTGATGGCAAAAAAAACCCATCCCGTCCCATCCCGAATAGAGCAAAAAAACCCTCTCCAAAGGGGTTGGCGGGGCGGGGCGGGACAAGGCAGGGCATGGGGCAGGCGCCCCGCCCCATGAAGGGGAAAAAAAGAAATATAATTAAAAATAATTTTATTTCTAGACAATTCACCCGTTAAAAATCAATTTTGAATTTGTATTTTATTATTTAATAATAAAATAACTCAAAATTTTGAACATGTAAGAAAAATTTTAAATGGCGCAAAAAGTTGTCCCGCTCCTGTCCTCGCCCTCATCCCGCATCCCGCTCCGATTTAAGGCTGGGCAGGACATGGGGCGGGACGAAGTTTAGGCGAGATGGACTCCCTTTTGAGTCAATACACATTATTTTCTTGGACACAAAGCGTTGGTTCTTTTACGTTGTATTTTCATCTGCTGGATGTCAAGTTGCTTATTGCTCTGATTACATTATTCCATATTTTAATGAGAGGAATAGTAATTTTTTGAATAATGTGTGGCTGAAAAAATTTAAAAAGTTTTTAGATTTACATGTAATATTATTTCATTAAAGAATATGTGATTGATAAAAAGAGAAAAAAAAATGAATTTTAATTTAATAGGGGAAGACAAAATTAAATTTAAAGAAGTTTTACAATTGCCATTCTTTAAAAAATTTTGAATTGTCAATATGCTTACCAAAATGTAATCTCAAATGTCATTCTGTCAATTTCTACTTTAAAAGTTTACGAACTTACTGACATCATAGACGAAATGACGGATGATATAACATTTTTAATAGTCAATTAAATTTTAAATGGTGACTAACAAAGTGACAGATAAGATAATATTTTGATAATTTCCCATGACAATTTAAAATTCAATAGCAATTAGAAAACATTTGTGATGGTTGAATAGCAATGGAAAAGAGATGAAATGTGGAAGAATCACCAGCCAATTGAGAGGGTGTTTGGTGGAAATTAAAATTAAAATTTTAATAAATTTTGATAAATTTTTTTGGAATGTATGATTGAAAAGTTGTGAAATGATTAATATTGATTGTTTGATTTTGATTTAGACTTAAATTAAGATCAAATTATCAAAACCAAACATGGGCTAACCCCCTACGCCACCCCTTCAGCATCCTGCAAAGACAGAAATCCCGCTTTGCATTTCACCTACTTATTGCTTTTCTTATTGGGTCAGTTTTCAGCCTTTTCTTTTTTTCTGGTGGTGCCATGTCTGTTGTTTTACTTTCTGTCAATTTGTCCTTCAAAGCCCTTTATCGATTTCACGGTTAAATAATCAATTTTCATGGATTACAATCATTTTCTATATGTTGAATAAACAGAAATGTTAATGTGACTAGTGATCAATAAACAAAATTGACTCTTACTTACCCGGCCACATTATTTTGAAAAAAATTGTATTTTTGAACTGTGTATTGATGAGAAATGTGTGAATAAAAAATAAGAAAATTTGGAATTTACGTATAATATTATTTTATTGAAGAATGTGCAGTTAAAAAGATTTCAAATCACTATTTAATAAGAATGTATTTTTTTTCAAATAATGCGAATCAAACAAGGCCTTAATCCACCTTGCCAAAACATGTCATGAAATCGTCTGAAGACGGTTCAAAATGCAAAAATTTGCATACGTTTAATCTGCAAAGACAATATAAAGAATTTATTACGAAAAATAATCGATAAAAGGACAAAATCCACATCATCAAATGCAAACAGTTAGAGAATACATACATGACAGAATTCTAAAGACACGGTAACTTAGCATGGTACATGTAAAACAAGAGATTTGCCTCTTTATTAATAACTGACGGCTGTGAATAGCTCAGCCAAGTGTAAAATAAATGGCGTTCGAGCTTCTAACCCTCTCAATATCCTTGATGGGTTCGTCCCACACTACACCGGCTATCCAATTGCATAAAGCATTTCGAAATGAAAGTAATTAATTCGTAGAGCATGTACCTGCTGCACCCATAAGCAAGAACCGCAGAGAATTTTCAGTTTTCATGTCTTCATGTCACTCAAGAAAACCTCAAGGCTCCATCTTCATCCATAGTCCATACAAAATCAGGCTTATCAGCTCTTGGTCCAGCGACTGTCCTGTACACGTAGAGTTTCTCAACAGAAATGGATTCAGGCCTTGAATCCGGGGGTCCTCTCTCGTCTATAACTTCAACATTGAGATTGGGCATCTTCTGACCGAGCAGTTTACAAGCTCCATAACTTACAGAGCAAGATGACATCCAAAGGGATCGCATTGTCTCCAGCTTTGCAGCATTGGCCAATAGAGCCCTGTCCCCAAATGGACAGTCCCTGATCTCCAGTTTTCGGAGGCTTTCACACCCTGACAAGACGTGATGGAGGCCCAAGTCGCTATCCCCAGCGAAAGCTAAAGAAAGCATCTCTAGTTTCTTAGCATGAGTCCCAATGTATTCAAAAACTCGATCAGTGAGGAGACCAGAAAGGGAAAGGCGCCGCAGTTCTTTACAGTGCTCTACAATGGCTCCAAAACCAGTATCAAGGGGTTCAAGGGTGAGGTAATCAGGAGCTTGAGGTTCGATAATACATAGACGGAAACGGAGTAGGTTAGGACGATTCCTTGCAATAGCAATCAATGCGGCATTTGACATCTGACGGCAGAAGTATAGCACTGACTGGAGCTTGGGGCATCCTGCCGAAACTGTGACAAGCCCCTGTTCAGTCAAAGATACATTTGGCTCTGCACTGTAAGGGTCCGAAGGAAACACCCTAAGTTCCTGCAGATCTTTGCAATATGATGAAAGGGCCTTAAGACCAGCATCCTCAATGTAATCCAGCACCTGATTAAACATGTCTCAATAAGGTCAAGGACATAATGCAACACAATATTTGCATTATACACAAAAAAAAAAGCAGAAAGAGCAATAAAAAAAAAATACATGGAAATATAATTATCCAACACTATACAGCACAAGTGATCTAAATATCAAAATTCAGAAACTTGAGCATTTCATTCTAACTCAAGTACTTCAACGTAAGGTTTAATTTTTCCTAAAATAGCATAATGAAACCTTACTCTTAGCCATTTAAGAAACTATCAATGAAATGACAGAATATAAGATCACATACCCATAGACACTTGAGATTGGAACACTGGCTAATGAGCTCAACAAGATCAGGACTTTGAACAGTAGCATAGCTCAAGTTCAGTTTAGTTATTCTGGAGCACACACAATACATTGCTGGAAGGTAAGCTGGAACTACATCCCAGAACCCAGACAAGCTTTCGAGATGCTTGCAGCCTGAAAAAGCTTCCACCAAGTTTGAGAAGATATCAGTTCGAATTTCAGTTGAACAGGCACCTGTACCAAACTCAACCAATTGGGGGGCACGACGAAGTAGGCTTGCGAGCTTCTCAACGGGAACCGCACGATTCAGCCTAAGTGTTTTCAGGTTAGGACACCGTGAGATGAGACGCTCCAAAGCTGAAAAGCTTACCTCAGAGCCCAAACAGGACATGTTAAGTGACACCAGTGAGGTGAAGTTGTCTGGGAAATGGCTAAGCCAATGCCCACTCAAGTCCTCCACTTCACTCTCCCTCAGGTCTAATTCTCTAAGATTCCTGCATTGCAAATATCCAAAATATATTGAAACGTTTTCCAATTTAATACTTGACTAGATCCAGTATCCTTCAGGAGAAGAAAAAGTGACAATTAATACGGACAAATAAATTTCAACAATCGCCACTCAGAATGCTGTAACTTTAGTCATAATTGCAGCAGCATAATTTTTTGAAGAGGTAACATTCTAATTAGGAAAGTTAATAATTCATGGAAATTGATTATTTCACTCAAGTATCCCAATCCCAGTACAGAAACACACAGAAGGTTCAAATGTTCAAACCTGTAATGGTGAGGCCAAAAACTCTTACCATAAAAGAATCCTCAGCGACAAATAAAAACCAAATAGAATACAAAGCGGGAATTGTATCTTCAACATATAGACAATTTTAAAATTTGAATTGCAATTCTTGCAAGTTCATGGGGAAAAATGTTTCCATTTATTTAATGCTCAATAGTTTCAAAGGAGTCAAGAATTATGAGTAGACTCGCAGTCGGTGGAAGATTTGAGCCTTCTTATACATTTCCCTGGTTAAAAAATAAAATAAAATCACAATTTTGTCTATGACATAATGTTCTGCTCATAGGAGAAAAATCACATAAATTTAAAAAAAAAATGAAGAAAAAATACTCCATCCAAAATATTTGACCTAAAAGAAGAAATACAAATTCAAAGTTTCCCTTTTGCTGTTCATTGTCCATTCCTGACTTGCCATGTACGGTAAACCAAAATGAACCAAAGCTCTTCAAAGATTTAACATATTGTCTCCCACTAAAAACACCAAGATTCAGCAGGAAACCTAAAAAATTCAAACTTTATACCGGAACTTTAAATCAACTCAAAGTTCCTAACTCACTTTTCCATCTACAGTTCACCCGAAAAGAAAAATAAGCACTTTCTGTAACAATCGCATGGAATGTACTCCCAAATACAGACTCAAAGCCAAAGAAATTAGAATTTCTACCTGCAATTGGCTGCAATGGAGGAAAGTCCATCAGTTGTGAACCCCTCGCATGACGAGAGAGACAAAACCTTAAAATTCTTGAACGACTTGGAGATCAGCTCCAAGCTCTCATCCGTAACCACCATGCGCTTGAGCTTGATTTCTTCGAGCCAAGGGTAAGACCTAGCCATAGCTGAGATCCATGGGTAAACATAGGCACCCCACCTCTCTGGCACCAAGTTGAAGTCCGCAAAATGCGGCTTCCCCTTGATCTTCACGGCCCTCACCTCCGGGAACCGGCGGATCATGATCTGTGGACTCACCGCGTAACAGTTCCCGATAAAAACTCGCCTCCGACACCATCTTTCAATTTCGTACCACGATTTGCACACCAATGAAACCGCATTCCGGTCCTTGTCGGAGCTCAAGAACGCAAACACGTACTCCAGCACCTCCTCCGGGAACGAGTACACCATTGAAATTTCTTGAAGTATCGGGGGTTAAAAGCGTAACTTTACTGCAGATCTGATAATTTCTAGAGAAAGAAAGAAAGAAAGAAAGAAGAAGAATGGGGGAAGTGTGTGAATAGAAGAGAGAAGGTTTTTTCGAATTTATATCGTGAGTTTAATGTTACTGGCTGTGAGGTTAGGAATTAACCACGGTTTAAGTCGACGTTTAACAGGTTGACACGTGTCGTAAAAAAATGAAATATAGTCCTCAGATTTGGGAAAATTGAGTTGATTCGGACGGGGCGACCCGGCGTGGGCATGAAACAGTGGGTATTTTGGTAATTTTGTTGGGAAGGAATCTTGTGATTCAAAATGCATAGGTGGATCTGATGGATGGGATTGTGAGGGCTACGGCCGTCAACCGGTCTATTTTTTGTTATCAATTAATTATGATTGGTTAAAATTTTGAAACTCATTTTTTTTTAAATTTAGCCCTATCTGGTAGGATTAAAATCGAATTTTTGTTACATTTTGAAGTCGCAAGAGAAACAAAATCAAATTTCGAGATGACCTCACCTCATTGGATGAGCGTGGGCCTCTGATGTGGTGGCAGCTCCTCATTAGACGATCGAACAACATAGGACAATGCCACCGTCGTACGAAAATTTTTCTCGATTGTAAGGGCTACGATCGTCAACGGGTCTATATTTGTTATCAATTACTTATGATTGGTTAAAATTTTTAAACTCATTTTTTTTTAAAAAAAATAAAATAAAATTTAGCCCTATTTGGTAGGATTAAAATCGAATTTTTGTTACATTTTGATAAAAATTGATAATATATGATTAAAAATTATGAATCCCATAAAATATATAGTTAAAACTTAAAATTAATTATTAACTTAATTTAAATTGAAATATAAATTTTAATCCCTATCAAATAATAACTTTTTTCCCAAACAAATGTTCAATCAACCTCATTTCAATAAAATATATTTACACGTAATTTAAAAAATACCATCTATTGGGAAAAATAGAGCTCAAATATAAGTTAAATTAATAGTTTTTCCATCGTTATCACCGTTAAGTAGTTTTAGAAATCAAATTTAAGCTTTAATCGACCTCAAATGAGATAGCTAAACGTAAATTTAAGTGAAGTTGAGTCAATTTGAATGAATTTATATGAGAAGTTTTTATTAACTTTCATAGAAACTTTAAGGCTTGATATGGTCCATTTCATGTGTTCAAATCTAGAAATCTACTAATTTTTTTAACCTTTTTATTTTTGTTAGATATTTTTTAAGTAATGTGTAGGCGATCATTCAAACTCACTAGTTTCATTTTGTTATTTAAATTTTTTGCTTTTATGAAAAGCAAAAAAATAAAAATAAAAATAAAAATAAAAATAATAAAATAAAAAAATGAAAACCTTTTTCGGATTGGCTTGAGTAGCAAGGATGCAAAGGGATCGGGTGATGTGGTCCATCCTTTCTCAATCCCGCCAAGAGTTTTTCGAGGAGTGGAGTGGAGTTGAATTGAAATGTCTTCATTTTCGGTCCTTGCCAAGTAAGCTCGAAATTGCATAGGATATAAAGGATGAAAATTGCCAACCCTATCGAGTAGGCAACAGACTGCCTCCATTTGACAACTCGACTCGATTTAAAGAAAGTTTGATTTCAATTTACACCCTAAATGGAACAATAATACCAAATATAATGTAAACTCACAATTTTGACTAAATGAATAGAATTATCGTGCTATTGGTTCTAGTGCAATTTGAACTAAACCAAAATAAATAAATAAATAATAAAAAAGTCACTTATTTAAAAGTTTATTTATGAGTATATCTATAAGTTTTAAATAAATATATATCAGTGGTCGAAGTTTGATATAAGTTATGTTTCAAATTATTAGCCCAACACGGCCATGGCAGGAGATGTAAGAATTTATCCGCGTGGAACACACGGTGAAGACTAAAAAGAATTATTGGGGTATAATAAGTGATGAATAATGACACCCACTTGATGATTTCTTCACCTGCCTTTTCATAATTGACCGCATATAATTGGCATGTATCCTATCCTCAATTGAATTTCAACACTCAATTTGCCTAATAAATCAACATCGATTTAATTGGACCCCACCACCCATCTAGCTCACAATTAATTTGCTAGGGCAACCAATAATTTGGAGAAAATAAGAGTTGAAACTATTAAATTAGGCTTGCTCGACAAGGTCACAACGAGTCAATTCTCAACGCTCATTTGAATTTTATTACTAATCTTCCATCCCAGTTTTAATTCCGCAACCATCTAGGCACCATCATAGAGTCTCGTGCTTACAAGAATGATTCGCAGTATATGTTTTTTTATACCAATATTTCTATTGCGTCATTTTTTATTGAAATCATATATTGATTCAATGACATGACTGATATGCTGAATTGAACGACTAATATTGCAAAAGAAATAAAAATGCACACAATCAATTGTTACAACTCTTGCAAAAAAGTTGGGTAACTTAAGTGGAAGAATTTTAACTATTTCGAGAAATATTAATGGTAGAGTTAATTCAATCCAAAACAGTTGTAACATTATTCTCAACAACATTATCATCACATTTATAGAAATACGAGATCACGTGATTTGTCAAAAGTACAGAGAAAGATAGAATTTATGTCGATGACAAACGTCTACGAAGAAGAAACTTCAAACGAAGAAATAAATGTCTTTAATTCACTACCTCAACTTTTTGGCATTTCATTGACCTTAGCTGTATGTACATCGCAAAGGGTTAAAGAGGAGAGGAGTCCCCACTTTTGCATCATAAGATTGTACGAGACATTGCCGAAAGTGCCCTTACTCAGGGATGGACCACAATTTTTGTTGTTGAAGTAGATGAGGGGCACTATCGTCAGTCTGTGAAAGGGACATGGTATCGTGGGTTGGCACTGTCGCCCCAATAGACCTGTCCTTTTTATGTCCAAAGCTGATATTCCTAAGTTGAAGTTGTAACGGTACAGATTTTAACGTCATTTAAATTATATTCCCCCCCCCCCCCCCCCAACAAATTCTTATTTTATTTTTTTATTTTTATTTTGTTTTTTTATTTTTTTGATGATTTCAACTTATAAAAGTAATACGTGCCTAGCGACATCAAAATTATATGACAAAACTCGTCCAACTGTGAACAATTCTGAGTTCAAGAATTTAGTTTATGTTTGGTATAAATATTTAGTGCTATTAAAATTATACGACAAAACTCTCCCAACGATCAACAATTCTTTAGAATTCAAGAATTTAGCCACTGTTTTATAAAAATTTTAATTTTTTTCTCAAACTCAATTTCAATCACAATTTTTTTTAACAAAATAATTTTATATGTAAACCCTTCCTTATTTTTATACTTTTTAATCACATATTCTCGTAAAAAATTCTACATCAAACAGACTTTTATTGACAGACAAGTTAATAATGACCCAATAGGCAAGCATAGGGTAAAAATTAAATTCCTTATCGTAGTCTTTATTAACCCCTATTTTACAATTTTTTTGAAATCATAAGTTAATTGATTACATTAAATGTGTAATTAAAATGTGAGAAAGAGTTTTGGATTTAATCAAATATACAGTTAAAAGTGAAGTTTGACAAGTTCGAAATTTGGAGAGAGAAAAAAAAAGAGAAATAAACTTTATTGAACAAGAGTTAGCTACAAAATATTGTGTGAATAACTTCTCTATAAAAAATAAAAAATAAATAAAAAAAAAAAGTGAAACCCCAACCTTAGGGGTCCCCCACCCTTCCGTCCCTATAGTATCGTGAGAGAGGTTAATCGCAGGATGTGTCCCAACAGGTCAGGGAACAAGAGTTACATGTACACTAGTACCCACAAAGAGTCTCAATCCATATTTCAGGAATCAAACCCTCACACTGTGGCTACCAGTAAAGTTGAGTATACCTCATCCTTATCCTTTACACCACTGGAATATGTCTCGGGGGCACGTCTATATTATGTAGTATTTTGACCTATCATGGTTCATACACTTGCATAATGGTGTTTTATAGTAGTAAATTTATTGAATTTTGAGATTTTGATTATACTAATATGTGAATTAAGTTCATTTTCTTAAAATGTAACAAAATTTTTACCACTGAGAAATTTTAATTTTAAAAGAATATATTTTACCCTAATTTTATCCAAACACATGCTAAGCTGCAAATCAGCAATTTTAATTTTATAGTTACTAATACGTGTGATTAGTATGCTGAGTTGTAATGCGCGTAATTGCGTAAAGTTGATTGTTTAATGGTAAGATAATGGGATTAATAATTAATTAATTATTAGTTAAACTAAAATAATAGGATTAAATAATTATGCCCACGCACGGTCCTCCGGGAATCTCTCCTCTCCTCTCCTCGAGTGGGATGGCAAGGTCTTTGCTCTATATTTATTGCAAAAATTTTATAATTTTTTGGAAAATGAATTCTTGGGAATATAAGAAAAAAATAATTATTTTTTCACGTCCATCTTGGATACCACGTTTGTACTATCAAATTATTTTATTTGTTAGTATAATGTTTTGCTCCCATTCTTGGTGGTTTGCTGTTATTTAAGCACGTGGATTACGTATATCGATAACTTGTAGTCTATATATATAACACTAATGAGGATGCATGTCAAACTAGAACATGTGCCCTTTCTCATAGATCAAGAGCGATTTAGTTGACGGGTTTTTATAATCTCGATCGCTTAGATGGTGCGAGAAATGAGATTTTGCTATAAATTATCGTGAAGAGATTCGTAGCCATTATTAGAACTGTGTCATTAGTCTACCCTTGCATTATTTTTTTTGTCGTGTTAGTTCATCCTTTTATTATTGTCACTCTCTTTCATATCACAATATTTCCCTTTCGCGGCCTCTCCTTTTAACCATTTGCCCCAAATTTTCAAGTACCCGTGGAAGAAAATAAGCGAGGATAGTTGAGTGAAGGGTTGGGTTTAAAAGCAATGCTCGTGCTATGGAGTATTACTCGGTAAAATAAGATTCTCAACGTTAAAAAGAGATTGTTCTCGAAGTTTCATTTTCTCTCTTCAACTTTGTCCTTTCGAGAAAATAACTCATATATATTATCATCAATATG